ATGTCAGATGAGCGCCACCAAGCAGCTCTTTTATATCCTCTTCACTTAATCAAAAGAGCCGGCTTTCATTGGTCGCTGTCTTGCAAAAACCGAATCCGATATGTCACTCCGGTTTAATGTCAAGAGGTGTCGGAAATTTCCGTCGATTTGAACAGGCCTTTACTCTCTCTTTTCACTATCTTGCACTCTCATACTCCCTTTCACTATTCCACCTTTCACTCACTCACTCTCTCATACTCCCTTTCACTATTCCACCTTTCACTCACTCACTCTCTCATACATTCTTTCACTATTCCACTCTATCAATAGGTCACTCTCAATCACTTTAATACACCCTATCACTCTTTCAATCTCAATCTCTCATTCCCCCTTTTACTATTCACTTTTCACTCTCTCACTCACTCACTCACTGTCATACACCCTTTCACTATTCCACTTTCTCTATCGCTAGGTCACTCTTACTTGCTCACTCTCATAAACCTTTTAACTACTTTGTTACTCTTTCAGTCACTCACTCATTCTCATACCCCCTTTCGCTATTCCTCTTTCACTCTCACTCTCTCTCATTAACCCTTTCACTATTCTACTATTCACTCTTTCACTCTCTCTCTTACAATTTCTCACTATTCCACCTTACACTATCGCACTCACTCTCTTATACAGCCTTTTACTTTCTATTACTTTCTTTCTCTATAAATCACTCTCATACACCCTAAATACTAGTACACTTTTCATCACTTTTTTTCTCTTTATTACTAGGTCTCTCACTCACTCATCATACACCCTTTCACTTTTCTTCTTTCACTTTCTTTTACTCTTGTTCACTAACTCTCTTATACTCCCTTTCACTATTCCACTATATCACTCTCTCACACTCTCACTCTCATACACCCGTCACTACTCCTTTCGCTCTCTCTCCATCACTCAATTGGTGCTGATCTAGTTTGTCTTCTGGCTGCCTCTCTGAGCTGATAACAGGCTAAAGCATATTCTGCTATAGGTCTGGAGTATTCTCCCCATATGAGCCTGAGCTTCTCTGAGTCTGAGACAGTGCTGAACTCTCTTGATATCAAGCAAAATCTGGTGAAGGTAGAGGATCTTATGATGTGGTTGTGCTCACCGTTCTCTCACTATCTCATCTTTTTTCTCTCACTTTCTGTCACTCACAGACTATTTCTCTCTCTCTTTCACTCACTCCCTCTCTGTTTGTGTGTGGTCATGTACTACCTTCAAGTCTAAAGTAAATGAAGCAGGCTGGGTTCATGTAGATGGGATAAAATATATCGTACCAGCACCATACGCTCATCCAGAGCAGTCTTCCCAGCAGGGTGTGGGGAGTCCACGCCTCTTTTCTGCTTGGGCACATTTACTGATTTTAACCATTTTAAATCTCTAAGTGGGTCAGCTGTAGATAAATGTGTCTGAGGGTAATACCAAGACAAAAGGAGACTGAATCATCTCAGGAGCAATTGTTATCAATGGGAATAGAGTCATGCATGTACAAATCGTAAATAAACTTGGAATGTCAATATGGATTCATTTGATTAAGTCTTTAAAATGTACTCTGATAATGTAAATGTGGCTGAAGTAATGGACACTTTTGAAGTGTCTTGTATGAAACAATAAACTAATCAATAATTGTCATGTAATATATACAAATCTGAGCTGTTTTCTTAAATTAGCCCAATAGTTTCCAAAGAATTGTGAATATATTGTGAATTTACATATGGACTTCTAGCATCAGATCAAATGTAAGATCTACCAAATGTTGTAGAATGATCTAAACGGTTACAAGAGTACATGAAGATTCCACATTTGTCAAACCAATGAAGTCTTGTCAATCATGAATGTCTGTTCTGTTTTAAATTGAAAAATGTACTCATTATGATGGCATGGCTTATTTTGCTCATATTGACATGGGGAACATTACACTATTTCATTGACTCTTCTATAGTAACCAGATTGTTTACCATAGCAACCAATTTTGAATCTGTATCTCAACTTGGCAAATGTTAGAAACATTGGGATTTGTGTATGTTACATTACTCAAAAAAATTGTTAAACGTTACTAGAACAAGCCAACATCACAGCCAACATGCGTGTTAGCTTTAGTCATCTAGTTATGCTTGTAATTGAATTATCTTGAAGAGCCTAGGGGTCTGCTATATCTTAAATTAAGCTGATAAATAGTCCTTAAAACTGAAATTTCCTTTGTAGAAAATGGTTTGTGATGAGCATGTTCTTACAAACTGCTATAAAAACATGTCAGCGCTTTGAGAACCATTGAGTCCATGTTTTCCCATGGGTTAGGGTTGATGATCAAATCCATTTTATGAAGCTTTGAGCATGTGGGAAAACTTCCTACTGAAAACGAATATGGACAGCAACTGGAATTTCAGTCATAGTCTGTTTTGGAACAAATATGTATTGATACATTTCCTAGTGTCCCATGATGGTCACATGTTTGGGTCAGTAGGCAGAGAGGATGTGGTCTGTTGTATATGTTTGAGGGCATTCAGTCACATGGGCTTTAACACTATAATGCAAGCCCCTGGAAATTTGTTGTAAATTGAAAAAAAACATATTTGAATCTTCACCTATGGCTGCAGTCATTCAGTAGAACTGAACCACTATAAAAACCATTAACCAAAGTAATGTTTGTTAAGTTGAAATTTGGTTCATAAGGAACCATTTATATCTTATTTCAGTCATGTTATTCATTGGAAGAGCCGATGAACTGATGAAATTAAACCGTAACACAGAGGTCACCACAACTTGAACTGAATAATTAAATCCAAAATGTAATATTACTAATTGATTGATACTTTTAAACACCACTTTTACAAGCCAATATTGTTGTTCGTAAACTTTAGCCATCTAGTTTACAGCTACTTTGTATAACTTGCCTTAGTGATTAATATTAATGTTAGTGCCACAAAACTCTTTTAATAGATCATTAAAGAATAAGTTTGCCTACTTAGCACAGATACATAACAAAACATCATAGAGAAAATGATAATTGTTTATGTTAATCATCGTAACATATTTACATTTTTATGACATCACTGACCGTTCCCTGTTTAAACTGTTTACCCTAGCAACCAAATTTTCTGAACTCCATCTCAGCTTTGGTAAATGATAAAGACATGGGAGTTGGTTTATTTAAGTTAAAGTTACAAATGAAACATTATATCATGTCGCTGACCCCTCCCTAGCAATCTGATTGTTTACCATAGCAACCAATTCAGCACACCACATCTCAGCTAAGAAAAATCATAGAGACATGGAGTGTGGTTTACATTACTCACATTGGCATGGGAAACTTTATCTGATGTCAGTGACTACTCCATAGCAACCAGGAAGTCTACCTTGGCAACCATTCCATTTTGCTTATAAAATACTGCTTATAACAAAACACTGTACATTGGTGGTTAAGTCTGTCTCCATGGCATGGTAACTGGAGCAACCTATGGTCTCAGCAAACCAATGATGTATTGGGGGGGGGGGGGGGTGTAAACTTAACAGACATAATTTTCCAATTTCCGCATGATGAGAGAAAGTGGGATGAGCCGTACTTCAGGATCATAGGGCTGCCTTGGAAAATGTAACTTTAGTAACTTTACCCAACATCACCCAACAAATCAGAGCATCTGATGTGCATTTAATGTTTATACTTACCATGGATGTACAACACTGCTTTCTTTTCGCTGCTGTGTTAACTACCCTTATGCTCCTCAGCCCAGCCTTTGCTGAAGAGTTCACATTAAGGACACAAATGATATCTTGATTTATTGTAAAGAAGCTGACAAAGAGGTCTTAGTCTAAATGCCTGCTTTAATTTGATTCAGCGTACGTAAGAAAGAAGCCTTGTTGTGTCAGCTTCTGTGCTTTGTGCCCATAGGAGAGAGAGAGAAGAGAGATGGGGATAGAGAGGACATTCAGCAATCCAACTCCTTGTCAGTGTTTTATTAAGAGTAACACACACACGCACACGCACACGCACACACATGCATTTTCCCGCTCGTCCTACTCACATTTCCAGCTGCCAGAGTCTACAGCCTTACACTCAGTCAGTGTCAAACACATTTACCTTTCCTCTCTGTTACTTTGTTTTGTGTGTGTGTGTGTTTTGTGTCTGTTTTAGCAAGAACGCCTGCGATTAAACCCATCTGCACCAAATGCTCTCTTTCTGTCTGTTCAAAGGCAGCTCATGTTTAATTCTCTCGTTTTTTTCATCTAACTCTGGGGGGAGAGAGGAGAGGGCACGGATGCTAGAGGAAAACAGAGAGAGGGAATGTGGAGGCGGAAAGGGAGAGACAGACAGGAGGCAGACAGAGTGAGACAGCTTGGCGACTGAATTCTGGGATCTGCTTCACACACATGCATGCACGCACTCATAGAGATATGCACTCAATGTAGTCCGAGTTATTTACTCGTTCTCTCAAAGAATCCTCTTACACGAGGGCTCTTTAAGGGTCCATTTCACTCAGAATTATTGCTTTTATATCACTTTAAGTGTCTAATGTCCAGTATAGTGCCTTATGGAAGTGCTAAATTGTTTTAAGTTGAAAAGTAAGGCTTGAGCTTTTGAAACCGCGGGGAAGGGCTGAAAAGAAATCCCATTTAATCAGGACACTCCTACTAAGCCTTATTTGGTGTCGAAGCATCAGCAAATGCAAACTCCTGCAACAGAAAATATATTTGTAACTCTGTTGTACTGAGATAGAACAGGAAGTTACATCCATCTCTTCTTTTCTAAACCTGGAAAGATCTGCTTCACGCTTTCAGATTCTCATTTCCCCTCTCCCTCTACTTTGTTCTCTGTTAGCTATTTAGCATTCAAAGTGTTTTAAAGCTTGCTTCCAGCGTCTTCATAATAATGGATTGTCACAATATTTCTGTAAAATTTCTGGTATTTTTACATTTATGCATTTGGCAGACGCTTTTACACGAAGCGACTCACATTTGAATGAATTAACACGTTTTTTTTTGTGAGTTCTTGTTTTCCCTGGGAATTGAACCCACTACTCTTGTGTTGTTAGCATAATGCTCTACCTACTGAGCCACAGGAAAGCTTTTATATCATATAAACATAGTCAAATTATAATTTGATGTGCTATACAGAGGTTTTTTGTGTAGACCTTATTTTATTAGACGAATGATGGGACATTATTCCTGTAAAAGTAGCTTTTTGGGATTTAAATCCTATATATGGACATTGGGCTTGGAATCTAACAGAAAACTCATTCTAATCCTTTAATAAATGACCAAATTACTTTGCATTGAAGAATTGTACATCTCTTTATTTTGACATGTACCTCCAGAGATCTCTCAGAACAGAGTGCTACACAGCCCTTGATGTTAGCCTTTTGCTTTCAGTCAAAAAATAATTGGGACACCCATTCACTTCATGTGAATGTGCAAATGGAGGGCTAGGGAAATGGAACTCATACTTAGTTGTGTTTGAAATGAACCTTGATGTATTTAATATTTTTTTAACTGTACAATTATATTTTATCTTTAAATTTAATAAGCAGTGATTTTTGGTAAATTTCGTTTAAATAGCGTTTCGTACAATAGTTCTTTTTAGTGGGTTAAAGCAGGAAGACGCTCAGCCCCAAAATGTTCTGCCTTTCTCTGGCTCTAAGGAACACCCTTTATGTTTTTTTTTATAATTTTTATTAAAGCTGTTTACTTCAAAAGTATATTAATAATAATCAGTTTCCACCAAAAGGTAAATGGAAAATGTTTGGGGTTATAGAGTACTGCTTCTGTTTTACAATACATCAACACAAATCACATTTTTTTAAGAATTATAGCTTGAAGACTCTTACAAAGCATCAAAATATTTTATAGAAACCACACATTTTGTTCGTATCTTGTTTTGTGATCAGTGTGCTAAGATAAGAATACAATTAAGATATGGATAGATTCTGGTTTCTTACATAATAATGTCAATAACTAATTCAAACTAAGAGAGCATGAAGTTATTCAGTGATTAGTAATCTTTTATCTTTGCTTATCATAGATTTATGTTTTTATCTCTTAATTTCAATAATGCATGTGTGTGTGCACACATATCTAGCTGGTTCTGATTAAATAAATGGCTAGATGCAAATACTTTATAGCAAAATCCAATTACTTCAATCCAGCAATGCATTTTTGAGTGTGGATCTAAGTGGATAAAAAGGGTTCAGGTGTAGATGCAGCACAAAAACAGAGATTCATTCATGTGTTTGACTGAGTACAGGTGTCATACGGTAAGTTCCTGTTTAGTCTATGGCTCCTGACAAGAGTTGCTAAACTGCGTTCTTGGTATATTTAGCATCAGTTTATAGAATCTCAGCTCCACTTGCAGCCGTGGGTCTGATGACTTCTGGATTTGCTTCAACACTGTGTTTGTATTATACAGCGGGTTATATAAATGTCAGATTGAGTGTAATGTGACATGAAGCCAAGTGCTGACAGTGATGACTGCCTGTTTGACAGCTCTGGTGGATCTGCTCGCCACACACAGAATATGAACATGTATTCAGTTTCTCTCTAAGTCACAAAATGTACACAATTACTTTTCTTTTATTTAGTTTTTAGTGTGTGTCTGATTTTATTAGTTTAGCTTTAGTTTTAGTTTTAATATTTTAGGTTATTGGAAAGGTACACTATAAGTTCATGCATTTTCAAAAAAGTCCAGCCGGGCAGCTTTAAGTGCAAAACAAATGCTGACACACTCATGAAGATGTGGTTCATTCTGTCTTGCTCCAACCAGAAACACGGAGAACCAGCTTCCTGTGACTAGTGCAGATTATATTTAACAATGTCTCTAACTGACTAGTTGTTACTTGTTTTGAGAACTATTTGTCATATTTTGGGGCCAACGCAATACTCTCACTGTCATATTCAAAGAAATCCCATATAGGGCTCTGCTGCTTTCTTCCATCTTTAGCCATTTTGCTCGATGGCACAGTAAACACTAGGAGTTTACACAAGACAACAGTACACAATATAACAGAAAATAAGTGCTATATGGAATCTATATTTAATATTAAAATCATTATAGAAATAATCATAGAAATAATAATCAATAATTATATTAATATTAATTAATAACTGAATATTTGCTTCAATTTTGAAAGAACCGTTGTTGTTGTTTTTCCTAAAATTCTAAAACTCAACCTCAGACCTGTGGAAACCAAATGACTAAAGGACTGAGTTGACAAAAAGGATTTTTAAATTAAGACTATTATAAAAAGATATATTTTCTTGCTCTGTCGCTGTATGTGAGTACAAAAGATGCCCTGTTAAATGCTGGCAGCTGGTTCTTTTGCCCAGCAAACTCCTGTGACCTTAACAAGGATTCATAAAAGGGGCTTGGGTGAATGAATTAATGATAGTTGCATTCCCAGTAGGTCTAAGTAACCGATCCTCATTCTCAGAAACCAGAAAAAACTACTGCTCACACGCTGACCAAACCCTGACCCAGACACCATTACACACTGTTTCTTTCACAGTCAGTGCTGAGGACAAACACTTCTGCTTCAATGCTCTGTGAATTATTAGCTGCGAGTTAGTTGGTTATAAAATCAAACGACCAGAGTGCCATCAAAGAAAGTACTCCCATCCAAACACAAGCCTGACCTGACCCTGCAAATAAAATCCATTAAAGGGGCCAAAATCAACTTTTCTGACATTCCTAGCATCTTTTAGTGTCATTCCCTCATCAAAAACATGTCTCAGGTTTTATTCTGAATCTTTCATGCATGTTTGAGTAATCCTGTATTCCTTTATTGTGAGCTCAAAATGGCTCAGTGTTCCTTAGAACGGCCAAAGTTCTTACCTATGCCTTCTGACCAACCAGATTAATCGCTAGTACAGCTCATACCTATGCAGACCGGGTGCACCGCCTGACCCGGAAGTAAGAACAGCAGACATGCACTGAAGAACAGTGCAGAGAAAGTGTATTTTCTGTTTTTCAAATAATGTAACATAATGTTGGGCGATGTCAACCAATTTAGGCACCAACTTAGATTTGAGCATTACTGCTTAATAAATGGTGACGCAGCAATATTAGCGGTTATGTTAACCAACCCACCATTACCCAAAACACCTGAAATCGGTTATTAATGTCAACCAAAGGACGATTAGAAAGAATAAACACATTCCTGGTTTCAAAACCCTTCCAAAATTGCATGAAATTGTACAAACTTTGTTCATTAACTTTTCTGAGAACAAGAGCTCGTTAGCATACACAGACACTGTACTGCATGAAGCGTGTTGTTATTTCTACATGTTTACAGTGGATTCATTAGCTTGCGAAGTGACGAGACTTTCACAGAACTCTTCGATGCACTTTGGACTTCATTTATGTCCCTTTCCAGCCTGGGTGACACACAGAAATCATTACCCATGATTCACAAACTACAAGATCCAAAAGAGGCGTGGCGAAAGCATGACTGTGAGAGGAATGGGGGCAAATGGTGCATTGTGCAGAGGCAAAAAATACGAGTTGATTCAAAGATTTTTTTATGATTAATATTGCATTTAGAAAGTTACTAACTGAGCAGAGCTAGTATAGAGGGTTCAAATATTAATTATAACTGATTTAAAAATGGCATAACATGAGCCCTTTAAATGTAGCATGGGTTTCAGGAATTTTTGTTTGGTGATTTACAGTTTTAATGTGTGCTGGGTCTTCGTTTAATGTGAAATATGTGCCTGAAGCTAGAGGCACTGAGAAGAAGTGATCCAGAGAGCAGCTCTTTCTGTGCTAGTTGCTGATTCAGGCTTTTCTTTTCTCTCTGCCTTCCTGCTCCTGTTTGCCTGCATCTCTCTCTCTCTCTCTCTCTCTCTCTCTCTCTCTCTCTCTCTTTCTCTCTCCATCCTTCTCTTCTACCATTCATTCTGTCTGACATGCAGTCATTTGTTGTTGTCTTTCCCTCGCCTCCTTCCAGACGCCCTGTGGAGAGAGTGAGAATACAAGAAAATACAGAGGAGGCAGAAAAGGACGAGGAGGGAGGGCGGGAGGAAGAGGGTGATGGCATTAAACTAGCATTCAGTGTTCAAGCCTTTATTCTACTTTCACATTCAACACAATTGAAACATTTTAAGAGAATTATCATAGTGCGATTTGATTTTTTTCAAGTTTAGTCTTAATAAACTACTTTGGAGCAGTCATGTGCTGCTTGTCAAACACCAAAAAGGATGGTGGAGATGTCATTCATCATTCATACATGCTCTGTCTGAATACTATATTGGCATGGAATATTGGCTGGCAGGTTTTGATAAATTTCGTACAAGCGCACAGGTAGTCTGGTTTGTTTGTTCACTTATTATATCAATTTGCCATTTTGGTAACCATAGTTGTTCACGGTTTCCATAATAAGGCAGTTGAAAACTTTTCCAGGTTCAATGAACTACATTTTTTTAGCACTTTCAAAGACATTTAACGTCATTTATTATGCCAAAGCATGATTTGTGGAGCACGGCTGTTGGTATTGCTTTAAAGCTGTACTGAGAGACACAAAATGTTGTCAGCCGCAGTGAATCACTACACGTCTGAAGAGGCACAATCCTCCTCCAGCCCAAATATAAATCCTTCAATATAATCATTAGTTGCACCTTGGCTTACTTCATGTTTATTATTTACTTAATTTTTTAAACCGAAGAACATATTGTGCTTTGTTTGAATGGGACATGCTTGACACTATCTTACACGTCACATGGCTCAACTTCATGTGTATAATACAGAAACCATGGCTGAAAGTTGATTATCCCTTAACACAGCTTCCAGAATCTGGAATCACCGGTCCTCTGTGTCTAATCCACATTTACAATGAGCTAAAATCAATGCTTCAAGTGGACAACAAGTGGCGTAACTCTCCAATAAAGCAATAAAGATGTAAATATTTGTATGAACATCTGAGAGACGTATCACTCCATTAATATCAATTCATTAAACCCAAACCCATTTAATGTGTGGTGCTTTTTAAAAAGATTTATTGAGGCCAAAAAAGAACTTTGCTTTGCCCCTATCTATAAAACAAGCGCTAGGTGACGCACCAGGCTAAAATTATTTGAA